TGACGTTTACAGTAAGAATGCTTTCTGTTACTCTTTCTGATAAGAACTTGACACAGGTATTTGACCTCAGGACATGACTGTTGGCAAACATTCTGGTTTCTCAGCTACTGTATGCAATCCAGTTTTACAATTTGTAATTACTGTACAGGACCAGGCACCTTTGAATTTACTATTCCGTGTGTTAAAGGTTCAGTGTGTAAGTTCTAGTGACATCTAGTGGTGAGGGTTGCGAATTGTATCCCCCCTCCCCAAACGAGCAGTGTAGCTACGGTGCCTGAGACAGGACAAAGAAGTCATCTATGAGATAAAAGAGATTGCCATTCAAGAAATGAGGTTTCTTTAGATAGATGTGTTAAGAAATGTATAAACCAAATATTTTTTTGAATATTATTGTTACTTTTTCATTAATAAACAACAGCCACATGAAGAAATGAAGTGCTATATGATGTCTCATAGTCCTGTAATACATTATTTTACATCTTGGAGGGTTGGCTCATCTGGACTAACATACCAAAGTAAATGAAGAAATTCTCAAACACTATCACATCTAGTGCATCAAGTATGACCACTGACAGATAACAGGATAATGTAAGCCTCATTGTTTCTGCACCACAGCCCATTATAAAACACATAATACATGAAGTTTACAAAGGCATAGTGAGGTGAGGATCAAGGCTCTTTGCTAAATTAGATAAGCAATCTGCAAATATTACCAAAATGTCTTTTTTAAAATGCAACAGAAACACGAAGTAGTACTGACAACCATAATTTCAGCTTGTGGTAAAACGGTGCAACGTGTTTTATGGGCATTTAGTATGTGAAAGTACAAATTACATATTTGTGAGCACAGTGGGAGGCAATATCCTATAAGTTTTTTTTTAATGCAAATTCAGAAAGTATTTATCATTGGTTACTTGATAGACGCACGGTCTTATTATATATCACCTTTAGCAGTAAAAAGAAATACATGATTTCCACCAGGGCAGTAAAATGTGAAGTTTAGCTGCTGATTTGAGCTTCGATGCTGGAAGCTGATTGTCTCCCAAACCTAACAGACAAAGCCAAAACAGAGCGCTGGAGAGAGAGAGAGTAACTACATGAAATTAATCCAACTAACATAACACCAGAATAAACAAAAAATAAAGCCAAACTACAGGCTGGAGAATAAGTAGGAGACATGAAATTAATCCATATTTCACACACTGACAGGGGAAACATGTCACGTCTCTGTGTGATTATGGCCAGCCAATAGCTAAAGCTCTCAAACAGCAGTTGGCATTTGCATCGCTAAAGTCTGACAGTTAATTACCTGTCCAGCAGAAAACAGACAACTTCAGCACCGCTTTGAAAACATCTGTCACACATTAACGTTATAGCCTTCCATCTGGGAAAAAACACAAAATCTGTGATTTCTGCCGTCAGCTGTCTGTCCCGTGTCTGGCTGTGTGCTCGTTCATTTATCCAAATGTCACTTCTCTTCTTACTTCTAATAAACCAGAAGACTACTCAGAGACTGTATATTACTATCATTATTAGTCCCTCATCTTCTTCTTTGTACATATTCAATGTTGTGACAGGCGTCTACACTACCGGAATTACACAAGCAGAAGAAGAACGCCATGATGACTAAACACGCTCTGTAGCGCTGTTTGTTGTCGGCTACCATAGACACATGATGATAAAATACAGCGACCTCCACAGCAGGGGGTACCCGCGGTTATGTAGATATAAATGTCTCACTCTGAGGTAATAAAAACATAATGGTTCATTATGTAAGGTCTTTATACACCACTGAAAACATAGTTATGGATAATAGATCCTCAGAAATATTACACACTGAACCTTTAATATATCAGTAACATTCAATCATAATATTAAAACAATTATATTATTTTATCTTTTTTATTTAACCTTAATTTAACCAGGCAGGTCGCTTAAGAACAACTTCTTATTTCCATCATACATTGTTCTTCCCATGGCACATTTTTATGAATTTTAATTTTGGAAAATCTTCTGCAGTTTTTTGGCCACACACCTGTGCTGTCCGTTTGTGGAATAAATGTTTGGTATTTAACAGTCTCATAGTGTTTAATGAAAATAAATGGTTAGTATTTACAGTGGTAAAGTGAAATGTGTGGAAATAAATTTGCTATTTTTTTTATTTCCTAATAACTTACTTAACTTGCATTTGGTTTATTTGTATGATTGTAGATTCATAACTTATTAATTATAATTTCATTATATGTAATTGGAATATTTACAGTAATCACATTCCATTAACTCTGTAACATAAATTATCTGTGTTAACTGAACATAAATAGTCTGTGTTGTCTCAACACAGAAAGCAGCTACAAAAGCAAAAATTCAATTCAATTGAGTAAATAAATTTTTTTTAAAAATCAGTGATGATGAACCCTTCCAATGATCATTAAAATTTTCTCAAGGGCCCATAACCTCCTCCGTGACTCCTACGGCCTTCTCAAAGATTTCTAAAACCTCTTCAAGGACTACAGGTGCATCTCAGAAAATCTTAATATTGTGAAAAAGTAATTTCTTTCCGTAATTTAAGATAAAAAAGTGAAACATATATACATATATTCTGATTATTTTTGTTTTAATCTGGATGATTACGGCATACATCTCATTGAAATCAAAAGTCCATATTTCAAAAGATTAAAATATTAGAATAAAGAATGTCTAATAGAGAAATGTTGACCTTCTGAAAAGTTGGAACGGTTCTGACAAAGGTTAATTTATGCACTCGGTACTTAGTCGGAGCTCCTTTTGCATGAATTACTTCATCAGTGCGGCGTGAGATGGAGGGCAATCAGCCTTTGGCACTGCTCAGGTGTTATGGAAGCCCAGGTTGTTTTGATTGCGGCCTTCAACTCGTCAGCAGATGGAAGCATGGAGTGCTCTAAAATCTCCTGGTAGACGCTGCATTGACGCTGGACTTGACCAAAAGCAGCAGATGACATGGCACCGCAAATCATCACTGACTCCAGACTCTGGGACCTGGATTTCCAAATGAAATGCAAAATGTATTTTCATCTGAAAAGGGGACTTTGGACCACTGAGCAACAGTCCAGTTCTGTTTCTCCTTAGCCCAGGTAAGACGCTTCTGATGCTGTCTCTGGTTCAGGAGTGGCTTGACACTAGGAATGTGACACTTTCCTGGACCCGTCTGTGCCTGGTGGCCCAAAATGCTCTGACACCAGCCTCAGCCCACTCCTTGTGAAGCTCCCCCAAATTCTTGAATCGGCTTTGCTTGACAATCCTCTCAAGGCTGCGGTCATCCCTGTTGCTTGTGCGCCTTTTCCTATGACACTCAAACCTTCCATGAATATGCTTTGATACAGTGAGTGTCTTCTGGACAACTGTCAAGTCAGAAGTCTTCACCATGATAATTGCATTGTATACTGAACAAACAGAGATTAAAGGCTCTTCTCAGGTCAACATTTGTGTATTATACATTCTTTAAAAAAAAAAAGTCCAGAAATATTTCATTTTATATGTAATGAATCTAAAATACATGAAAGTTTAACTTTTTTTAAAATTAAATTACGGATATTCTAATTTTCTCAGATGCACCTCTGTAATGTCCTCAAGGACCCTGCAACCTCCTCAAAGATTTCTACAACCTCTTCAAGGACCATAATGTCAACCTCCTCAAGGATTCCCCACTGGACCCTCTCAGGTACCATACATCTTTTTAAGTAGCTATACATTGTACTCAAAGAACACCATGAACCTGCTTAAGGACCCCTACTCATCCATTTTCTACTAGTTTCTAACCATAGTGATGTATGAGTACATGCTGATACATCTCTAATCTGTCTCCTGCTCCAACACTTGAATATTCCTTCTTGGTATACATCTATGCATGTTATGTTATAGAGGCAATTATTTACCTGTCATGAAAGACTTTGACAGGGATATACACTGTTCCATTTGTGCAAACCTTCCTCAAATGATTACGTCAAATATTGTAGTTTAGAGCTGCAGCCAGCAGATGATGCCAAATCACCATGAAACAAACCTGGTGTGATTCTAAGCCTTTTAGTCCATCAGCTGGTTTCCTTTGAGAATGGCTCTGCTGCCCTCTTCCTTCTATCACAGACGTTATTCCTGGTTTAAGTCTTATTCAAGAAGCAATAAAGGCTCTCTGTCAGTCAAAATGTTGGCTCCCTAAAGGGTTAACAGCAGAAGAGCTTTGCCTAGAAACTGTTTAAGCAAACAAACATCTAAAATGTCTGTTTACGGGTTAAAATGGTGAAAATGGTTCATGTGGAAACTGATTCTGTTTATGTTAAGGCTAATGATAGTTAGGGTCAGATTTTTACGGTAAAAACATACACACACATCTGTATGCACATAAATAAGGCTGCTAACAACTTATACACATTTCACGATAATGTGTCTATTTTGCTTGTTTTGTCTGACTAACAGTCTAAAACCTTAAGAAAAGGAGCCAATAATCATATTTGAGAAGCTGAAAACAGTTTGAGTTGAGGGGGTTTTTTGGCTGAAAAAACGATTAATCGATTATTAAAATTGTATCCAACTGATTATCTGGTGATCAGCTAATCAGCTTATTGGTGCAGCTCTGCGCATATGCATAGGCCTACTGTAGGCTACACAAATTAACTTTCCATAGGTTCCTGTCTTCCTGTATTGAAAGGTTCTTTAACAGTCCTGACAAAAGTACACACATGCTTTCAAACATCAAGGCAAAATTGAATGCAAAAAAAGACAGTCCACATTTTTTGACAGCTTGGATGTTGAATGAGATAAAAACACACAAAATGAGCCTTTTCTGTGTGTCGCCCTGGTTAAAACTGAATGAATCGTCAGTCTGTTTCATTCATGAACCTGTTGAATCTGTGCGCCCAACACACACACACACACACACACACACACACACACACACACTTTTCTAAGCCCCGCCCCTGCCGGAGGCAGAGAGAGAGAGATCAGTAACATCCATTCAAAGAAGCGACTGCTCTTTTAACTGGCTCACCTCTTGCAGGAGCAGGACTCTCCTCAGTCAGCCGGTGTTGGTCGGTGTTGTTAGAGTCAGCGGCGACACACGAACCGGCGGACCGACAGGCAGGAAACAGGTAAGACACCTTCGTCGGTACCTGTTTGGACATTAGGCTTCTATAGTGTTCCTATAATCAGTGGTGGAAGTAAAAGTCAGCAAAATGCATAGGCTACACACTGTAGAAACATGTCTCTGTGGCTGTTGTATCTCCTATCATTAGATTATTATTAGGCCTAATACAGCATCAGCATTTTACTGCTGTCGGTGTTGAGGTGGAGCTCATTTTGAACTATTTCGTATCGGACTGCAACTTTATTTTCATTAAGGAGTAATCTGCTGATTAGGTTTTCCATTAATGATTGACTGTTTTGTTTGTAAAAAAAAAATTGTAAAAACAGTGAGAAATGCAGTCACATTTAGGCTAAGCTACAAAGACCCTTCACAACTTAACATGAACAGTGACTGAAACCATTATAAAAATAGTTGTCAACTAATTTTCTGTCAATCAACTAATTGATTAATGGACTCATCTTTCAGCTGTAGGGCTATAGATTAGATTATAATATATTATATATTAGACCCTGGCAAGATGAGAGGAGGTGGATTCTGTGTTTTAAATCGATGCTTGGTGCTCAAACACAGTCAAGATGGACTCAAATGTCAGACTTTGTTGTGAAGATGAAACTTTCATATTACCATCTGGTTGCTGCTGTTTACATTTACCCCAGATGCAAATTTATAAAATGCACTGCAGAATGTTCTTGGTGTATACATGTTTATATATAATATATATGTTACCATATTTTAATAAACACTTAATTATATGTTCTGTGTGCAGCGTGAAGGAACTACAAATTTCATTTCATTGTACAACCTTGTGGTGTATGACAAATAAACAACCTTGTAATCTACCTTGTAACCTCACAAAACAAGATATCAAATTTCATAAACTCTTAATGTTTTTCATGCAAAAGAAATTATAATTTGTAAAGTAACTAGTTACTAAAAATGTCAGATAAATACAATATTTCCTACTGAAATGTAGTCAAGTAGAAGAAGAAAGTTGCATGAGAAGAAAAGAATCAAGTAGAGTACAAGTACCTCAAATTGGTACTTAAAGGGGTGGTATTATGCTCATTTTCAGGTTCAAAATCTTATTTACGGGTTGTACCAGAACAGGTTTGCATTGTTTAATTTTCAAAAAAACAACACATTTTTTGTCTTACTGCAAATTGCTGCAGCTCCTCTTTTCACCCTGTGTTGAAGGCTTTTAGCTGTGGAGTGATGCATCTTGTCTCTAAATGATCTTTGTTGGGAGTTGCACATGCGCAGTTCCTACTTAAGGACTACTAGCCAATCAGAAGCAGAGAAGGGCGGGTCAGTGAGAAGCCGGTAAACAGCTCGGGTTCAGCTGTACATGTTGCCGACCAGCTTAGCAACATGGACTGGAGCGAGAGTTTCAGAGTGGTGAGTTATTAATCTGTAACAAAAGTATCTTTCATCCATAAAGTTTTAACTGAGCTCTGTCTCTACATCACAGGAACAACTTTATGTCCACTGACTGCCTGGAGGGTAGCTAGTGTTTGGAAGGGAGAGGAGAGCTGTGTGCTGCAGCTCACTGTTATTGGTGTTTTTGAGGGCGTAGTAGCTGCTTGGGGAGCGTTATATGAGGCGCATTTAGCTTTCATCCCTGTGACGTAACAGGGATGAAAGGGAAGCGGCTGAACTACAAACGAGCTGTTTTCAGGCAGTTCAGAACAGAGTTTTCTGTGGGAGATGGGAACTCCCTTTGGGCTTTTTCACCTTGCAAACCTATTACATGCACAAAAAAGGTATATAACTCAATAATGGAGAGGGAAAAGCCAAAAAGCATAATACCACCTCTTTAAGTTAAGTTAAGTATTGGAGTAAATGTAGGTAGGTAGGTTTGTTTATTGTCACAATATAACAAGTTATAGAGTGAAATTTAGTTTTGTTACTCCCTTCTGCTACATAGCAGACAATATAGTAGTAAGACAGTAAGATACAAAGTAAGCACTTTAATGGTCGCTGTAAGATTCTTGTGATGTCTCTGTGGTGTTCAAGAGTACCTATCCTAGACAGTAGTTATACAGTAGTGGTCATGAAATGGCGCTCCTTTATAATCAGTATTCTTCTAGTATTTCTATAATATTCAATAACATTCCTGTACTGCAATGGTTGTCTCAGTAGTGGTCTGACAGAATTTTCCTGTATGTTGGCAGTTTGTGTCTATATTATATATTTTTTTATATTTCTAGTTATTGTCTATGGTTTGTTTATATTGTGTATAAACTTATTTTTTCATATTTTTACAAGACAATCTTAACTCAAGGTCCACTTACTAGCTTTTTCCAGTGCTCTCCACTGCCTCTTGTTGTCCGTGGACCTTGAGTTAAAGGTACAACATATAACATTTGGCCAGAATTTTTGTTTAAACATTCACAAATTGACAGTTATAAACAGAATGTAAAGAAGTAACAGTTCTGACACCCTGTCAAAGACATCTACAGTATCTCACAGAAATTGTTGTAAATATTTGACTACATCTTTACATGTGACAACACTGAAGAAATGACACTTTGCTACAATGTAAAGTAGTGAGTGTGCAGCTTGTATAACAGTGTAAATTTGTTGTCCCCTCAAAATAACACATCACACAGCCATTAATGTCTAAACAGCTGGCAACAAAAGTGAGGACACCCCTAAGTGAAAATGTCCAAATTGTGCCCAATTAGCCATTTTCCCTCCCCGGTGTCATGTGACACGTTGGTGTTACAAGGTCTCAGGTGTGAATGGGGAGCAGGTGTGTTAAATTTGGTGTTATTGCTCTCACACTCCCTTATACCGGTCATTGGAAGTTCAACGTGGCAAATAACTCTGAGGATCTGAAAGAAAGAATGGCTGTTCTACATAAAGATGGCCTTGGCTATAAGAAGAAAGTGCACTCACTTTTGTGAGATACTGTATATATTGTGTTGCAGAAACTACTAAAGTTAACATGCTACTACTTGTGTGATAGTCCTATAGTATAGCTCCAGTTTTTGCATTGGTTCTTGTCTTGGGAGGATGTTCAGATAATAATAAAACAACATTTCAATGTTTGATTGGCAGCTGTAACGAACCAAACTGATCCACACTCTGACGCGAAGCTTACTCAACATAAGGAAAGAACTTAAACTAAAAACTAAAGTAACCATAGTAAATATAACGTGCAACTTAACTAAATTTGACTGAAATAAAACATAAGCAAAAAACAAATAAGGTCAAATACACTGTATAAACTAAATAAAATCAACTAAAACAAATAGATTAAACAAAACTAAAGCCTCATCTGAGTTAATGAAAACCCAGAGAAGAGTTATTATATGAGAACTGATCCACAGACAGTGACATTAACAGTTTGTTAACTCATCTAACTGCTCACTGAGACAGTGTTCATGAAGTGATCTACAGACACCGCAAACTGCTGCACACAACTGTAATTACAGATTTACACATGGGTTTAAATTCCTGAACATGACATGAACACAGCAGGCAGCTGCTCAGCCCGGCATGAGGATGCAACTCAGGACAGACAGCACATAAAGCACAAAGGTTCAGTTACTGTTTGATGAAACATAAAAATTAACAATAAACATAACTGACTAATCTAACAAGTTTAACATATTTTAAATCTAAATGGGGTCCAGTTTCACAAGTACTCACACAGAACAGTCATGTCTAAATGCATCAGTTTCTTTCTGCTGACTGGTTTAATTTTAAAGTCCCCCATGACTTCCTAAATGTCTGGATGAGTGGTTTCTATACAGCTATTAGAGCTCGGATCTCACTTTCCAGCATCCCTCTGCTCCAGATAATTGCTTTTTTCGTAAGTGTGCAGTCATCATCCAACAGACAAAGGCTTTATCGAGCTTCCATTTCATCTTATTGCTCTTTTTAGACACAGCGAAATAGGATTGTAACCAATTCTTTTCATGTTACATTTATTTTCTCTACTAATCAACTCATTATTTGGTCCATAAAATGTCAGAAAATAATTATACATGCGTTGCTTAAAGCCCAAAGTGACGTTTTCAAATGTCTTGTTTTGTCCTAAACCAAAAAGAGATTTAGTTCTGTCACATAAGACAATGAAAAGCAGCAAATTATCACAGTTGTAAAGTTGAACCAGGAAATGTTTCTACATTGCAAAGCTACAGCGCAATCACAGTTAGGCTAAGGCCATGTGATTTAGCAGCAGCAACAAAACAAATGTAAAGCAAGATGCCCTTCTTATATATTTTCGCAACCTGCAAAAAGAGCTCTGTCTGATCTGCGCCTTACTGTTTTGGTTCACTCTCACTGTTCTGCTTGGATGGTTTCTGGCCACAGCAGGCAGCTGTTTTCAGAGAAGAAGCTGTAAAAAGCCACAGTACACTACCTGCCCAGCTCCAAACAGCAGACAAAAACAGGTACAGACTTGCTGGTAAACATAGTGGAGCATTTAGCAGCTAAGCTAGCGAGATCTTTCCCTCAGGAGCAGGTGGAGACCAAAAACAGAGCTAGAAAAGAGAAACAATATTGGACTCGCCTTCATTAGGTGGACACAAAAATGATTTATGATTAACTTTAAAAGGTGAGAATATATTAATGTTGTGTTCACAATGTGTTTCTGCTGCTCCTGAGTGGCCCTGAAATATGTTACTGCAGGTTTAAAGGTACCCTGTGGAGTGTTTAGGAGCACAATAGAGCAAAATACTGGGTCCCCATTTTGTTTGTATCTCATGTACACGCATGAGAATGCAAATGCACGTCCTCATGTATGTGGGCAACATGATAAGGAAGAAAACTGCTAGCTGATATACTATTAATATTTAACATTCAACACGTTTGTTAGACCTCAAGGATACAGACAGTGTGTGTTTTGGTGAGTAACATTCAATGTATACAGAACTTTTGTTTGTTAACAGGATAACTTAATAATAACACATTCGTAGTTCATATGTCTGACAATCTGCTCTCTGTGACTTGACTGCAGTTTCTCCCTTAAAAGTGATTAAAGATGGATTCATCGGTTCATTTTTATTTTCATCGACTGTTTTTATCCTTTTTATTAACATGACTTTGAAGTGAAATACACCTAAACTGAGGAACATTCAGCGTCACACCTGTTGGCTCTCTGGTTTCTCCTCCCACAGGTCGCACTGCAGTGATGTCATCACTCGTCTTCCTCCTCCCCTTCCTCATCCTCACCCCAGCCTCGACGTTGGACTTTCGTTACCACAGCAACCGTGAGATCGAGCAGTACCTCCTCCAGCTCAACGCCTCCAATCCCGACATCACACACCTGTACAGCATCGGCCGGTCTGTCAGAGGTAACAACACACCTATTTTTCAAGATATAAAAAGTATGGAAATAATAATTACAAGTAGCGCCCATGTGACCGATCAGATTCTGTGACCTGATTAAGAACTTCAGCTTTATTGCTTCTGCAAACGTCTTTTTATCATCCTTTATTTTTTATTATCAAACATGATGGTATAATGCACAATGTTGATATTCCAATAATGATACCATGCAGGTTATTCTGTGACATTAATGTCTCCCAATTTTAATTTTTTTTTCTAATCAATGAGGAAGCAAATTAAATCTGTTAGATCAAGAGTTAAATCAAATAGCGAGCACTTTAACCTTTTTAAAGATCTGGATCTCATTATTAAAAGATACTTTTCTTGAGATCCTGATTTCGTGTATACATACATACATAAATTTATAGTTATATTTCTGTTTAGGTTTTGTTTTTTGCCTGTCTGGCGGTTGTGTGATCATATAACGGGACTGCAACACAGGTTAATTTAATCCGGGACGGCTTAATCTGGCTAGTCACACACACACATACACACACACACTAATCTGGGCTAATCTAGGGCACCAGCTGGCCTGTGTCCAATTTGTGTGTGTGCTGTTGTGTGTTGTGTGTGTGTGTGTGTGTGTGTGTGTGTGTCACCTTGTCTGTCTGCAGCCAATATTTCCCTCTTGTTGCTGTGATGACGCACTCACATTTTACTATGGTTTATTGCTATGTGTGTGTGTGTGTGAGACCTGCTGTAGCTTGCAGAGCCTCATTCACTAATCTGCAGTACTGACACTCAAAATAGTTACAGCAGTTGTGTTTACATAGAAACTTTTGCGCACTAAAAAACTGCACCAGAGCTCAGTGAAAATATAATATCATGCTGTAAAAACATTCATCAGAGCCTTTTACCATGCTTTCAGCTTGTCAGTCATGGCGACCGGGATGTATTGATAAGCCTGACTACAGCTGCAAAGTTAGCATTGCTACATGTTTTTACTTTAGAGTTGTGCTGCCTATTGTGTGTGGTTGAGTTTCAGTATAAGAAATGAGTGCAAACTTTTCCTAGTGATTTAGTGGTCACGGTTGTAAGAACATTGTTGCTTCACAGTGAAAACAATGATAAACCTTGTCCCCATTTGAAAAATAGTTAATGATTCCATGTTTTCCGTATTTCTGTGTCCTGCTGAGAACAAGTCATGAATACCACATTGGTGTGTCACTCAAATGGACTGTTTTTGGTAAATATTAGCTCCAGTGTTACAGAGCTATGCTTCTGTTAAAAAAAGAAACCTTTGAAAGGTCCAGAGGGTCATTAGACAACATTTACATTTTTCTTAAAATAATTCCCAGAATCCTCTAACCATCTGGATAAAGAAATATTTAGTCTACTTACATAAAAAAATATTTCTAACCCATTCCCTAAATTGCGATTCAAAGATGATAAAAGGAAACGACTTATGTGCTTCCTCAATTTGTGCGACATGAACTAAAATAAAAAAGTTCTAATAAATTGGTTATAATTCTGATTCTTTATGTTACTTTCTATTATTTTATATTTTCATATGAAAATAGTGCTTGAGGTTAAAAAGTACACTGAGACTGAAGCAAAACAGCAAAGCTGCGGGAAGTAACTGAAAGAGGAACCGCAGAGGTGAAAATACTCCTGTGTGTCCAGAATCGGGTTTATTGCGAGGTACATTTTCACATATGAGGAATTTGCCTTGGTATGAATTGGTGTTTACAGTACACATAAAACATAAATAGTAATATAAATATATAAAAAGTAAGAAGATCAAAAAAAGTACAAGTATACAAAAAATATTAAAAATACTATAATACTATAATACAATAATACAACACTCGTTTGACACTCCCCACAACACATTTCACATTGTTCATATAATAATACTCATTGGTGCAGCTTTAAGGCCTGTTCCCTCCTGAATGTTTAGCATTCACTGGAGGCTCTGTGAGAGCACTGCAGGAGAAGTGGACTGAGCCTATCACAAAGTCAGTTTAGAGCTCACTCCAGTCTGGGATTCAGTATAAAAAGAAATATTTCCCTCAGAAGCAAACAAGCTGCACAAAATGTAACTTGTATAAATGTAAAATAAAACGCTTGTTTACTCTCTTTCTGTCTCAGGTCAGCAGTTGTGGGTGTTGGCTCTGGGTCTCAGTGCTCGCCGCCACACCGTCGGCATCCCGGAGTTCAAATATGTGGCTAACATGCATGGAAACGAGGTGAGAGAACACACACACACACACACACACACACACACACACACACACACAACAGGACCCCTCCCTGTTGACAGGAAGCAGGACTAAAAGGAGACTAAAGAGATCAACAAAAGCCATTCATAGTCAAACACACTCCATACACACTTTTGTATTCAGACGACAGACTGTGTGTGTGTGTGTGTGTGTGTGTGTGTGTGTGTGTGTGTGTGTGTGTGTGTGTGTGTGTGTGTGTGTGTGTGATCTGTATTAATCTTAGTTGAAAATGGAAAGTACGCTGAGTCAACACTAAAATATTAGACAACATTGTAAAGCAAATCTATGGATTTATAAACAACAGCAGCAGCAGTAACCGACAGGAAAGACTCAATGAGAGAAAATAATGCAGCTCCAACGTTCGTCTATCACTAACTGACACAGCAAGGACAAATGCATCTCATACTCACGTATACTTAGAAAGATTAGTAGAATAGCTTACTGGTTTAGTTCATTGAAAGGTTCACATTCATCTACACAGTGTAGTGTCATGTATGCTGCTTTAAACTTTATTTGCTTTGGTGGTTTTTCATTATGGCGGGGTGGTGGTGCAGTGGTTACCACTGTCACCTCACAGCAAGAAGGTCGTGGGTTCAAACTCCGGTTGCCCCGGCCTTTCTGTGAGGAGTTTGCAACGCCCCCGCAATCCTGTATGCAGGATAAGCGGTTGACGATGGATGTTTTTTTATTATAACAAGATGATTTTCTTGTTATAGTATATTTGTTTTAATGAGAAGGATAAGAATTATACAGATTTTGGTCCAGACTGGAATATCTCAACAACTATCGGATGGATCTTCATGAAATTTGGTTCAGATGTTCACGGTGCCCAGACGTTAAATCCTCTTGACTCTAGTGATCCCCTGACTTCCCTTCTAGCACCACCATGAGGCTATCATTTGTGGTTTTGAGTGAAATGAAGTGAACAAAATTTGGATGGATTGCCTTGAAATTCTATTCCTCTCAGGATTAATCCTAATAACTTTGTTGGTTCATCTAGCTCCACCATCAGGTCAGAAATTGAATTTGTCCGATACTTTGCTTGCAAAACTAATGGCTTTCCCATCAGCCTCGGCTGTGCTTTGTGTTAAGCGCTAATTAGCAAATGTTAGCATGCTAACAAGCTTAACTAGATGGTGAACAGCATGTTCGTCTGGCTCACAGAGCGGCTAGCAAGGCTGTAGTCTGTCTTGTAACAATAAAAGTTCAGTCATTAATATGTGAGAACAAAGTTTGTACAGTTGATGTTTGGTGTCAAAGCTCTGAACGCCATGTAGCAGTTCAGAAAAGGGATGCTACACGAACAAGTTAAGCTGCATTAGATACAGATCCTGGCGCCAGCTTTATTCATGTGGTCTCTTTGTGTGTAAGCCACTATGTGGACACCTCAGACTGTGACTGAAAATATTCTGTTTTACAGAAAACCAATAGGAGAGATTTGGTTTTCTATGAATGTCAGCTCTGCACTGCTGTAGATTCAGCAACACTAGGTTAACATTGTGGGGAAATCTGTGATGAAAATAAGCAGCAAAAGCAACACAAAGATAAGTTTAAGGTGTGTCTGGTGCCAAGAAAAGCTTAGATTACATCAACAACTGTCAATATAGAGTTTAATCACATCAGTTTGATATGACACATTTAAGAATACATACAATTAGACAAAATAAATATGAATTAAAGAAGCGAAAAACCTTCAACTATGTAAATTAAAATCTTAGAGCCCTCTGACCAGCATCGCGTTCCTGTGGCAACGGCCTGCTGCTGATCACACTGCATGTGTGTGAAAGTCGATGGAAATGTCCTTAAATAGACAAGTCACGCCTGGACAGACACTCACACACACTGTCCGCAAACAGAGTCGGTGGAGGGTGTCGATTCAGAGGAAACTTCTACAAAATGGCCTTTTCACTGAGTCAACACACACACACACACACACACACACATTATAACAGCAGGAATGTAGCCTTTGTGGAAAAGTTAAAAAGATGTCGTGTAGAGATCTGCTGTGTGTGTATTTATGTGAGCAGTTCCCAGAAAATATCTTTCCATCGAGGTTGTCGAACACACTTAATGTCCGCATTTATACCGTGACGAAGTAGAAACTGTCATTTGGTTTTAGTGGCCCCCTAGAGGCAGCAAGAGTCTTAATGTACTGGTAGTGGATTTCAAAATGTTAAGTTTGAGGGCGGCACTAGAGGAAAGATCACTGAGTCATTAAAATCAAAAGGGTTCATCCTCTGTGGAGCATGAAGTACCCAGGAACGCATATCAAATCTGACAAGTAGATGTGGGTAGACTGACTGGCATATAAAGTTTGTTGCTGCCTGCTGTTGCTGGAAACGACACTGATGAGAGCGCTGAATCAGAAACAGTATAGTTGCAGGCTGGAAAACCCAAAACAATGAGCTGAAAGACATTAAAACACTCGTACTTGAGACAAAAAGCTGAGGACACTTGACTTGGTGACCCATAAATATTGAAAAACACTTTACTGACTGTAAAGTGCCTTTTGGAGCTCTGCCAAACTGTCATGAATAATTGATAACATAATCAGGATGCACGCAACGCCTCAAAAACCTAATCCACAACTTTAGTTGCAGCTGGGCGATAAATACCGTATCCATTTTTTTAAAAGTAGTATTTGGCCATTGTGCTATTAGAATTTTTATACTAGGCATAAAAAAAACAGTTTTTTTTTTAACTTGTAGGTCAAGTCTTAAGGACTTGTATGGATCAAAAGACTTCAGAACAGCTCTGCAAACTGTGAGCTACACTAAAGATCTACGTAGGCTGTAGCAAAGATCACATATTGACTCTCTGCTGTAAATGGTAAAGTCCTTTCATTTCATTTTTCATTTATTTTATTTGCTCAAGACCAAAAAGAAATGACAAGATGACAGCATACGGCTTGATAAACAAGAAACAAATACTACTTAAACAGAGGAAGAACATTTTTTAACACCAGTTTGTGAAATTACAAATAGCCTGTCTATACTTTTGGTTGTTATGCAGCAGATACATTTCCATTTTGAACGCATGTTTATCCTCTATATAAATAATACCTGATGTTATACTTCTAAGATGTTTTTTCATAAACTGGTCTTTCAGTTTCTTTTTTCAACAGGTAGATTCAACCAGTTAATGTTGTTTCACTTTTATTTCAGCCGAAGGTAAAAAAAAAAAAAAGAAAGAAAAACACTGTCATCCAGGATCTGCTTAACATGCATTACCCATTGTGACATATGTACACCTGCATTATACAGGTTCAGCGAGTTTAGTTTCTTTATCTTCTAACAGCTTCGCCCAATAACCAACAGTCCTCGTTTTAACTGCGACATAGAGTAGGTATCTTTCAGTTCCCCGTACGCAATATTATTTCAGGTTGTTTTATCATTGTTTATCTGTAATTTCCACTTTTCACAAAAATCATTTGCTTTCTGTATGCCTTTTTTGGGGGGACATAAAAAAATGTTTCACCCTGTCTTATTCCTGTTAGGCTTGCAAAGAACTCAGACTTAGTACCATTAACAAGTACACAAGATATGATATTTTGAAAAATTTACCATTAATGCCTACTTTGCCAGATTGCATCCCTCCAGAATGTATCAAACGCCTTTCTATTGTCAGCATAAGTTGATATAGGTGCCTTTGACTTAATTAGAATAAAATTTAGAAATGCACCTTTTAATTGGTATATTATAGATTGCTTTTTATTCAATGACTTTGGTGATCTCCTGACTTTTTTCTCTAGCACCACCACCTGGTCAAAGTGTTCACTTACCCTGTAAAATATCTCAGCAGCTACCAGATGTAATGGCACAAACAGTTGTACAAACATTCCTGGCTCCAAGTGGATGAATCTTAATGACTAGAGCAGCAGATTAATGCCCAGAATCAGATATGGGTGTTTGGGGGGTTTGAGTGTCAAAATACTTCACGCCGTATAGTGTATGCGTGAAGTGCACACATTCTTGCAGCACATTTTGTTTGTATAAATACTTCTGTGTTTGTAGGAAATGGTGTATGCATGGTTTTTGTAGGCACAAACTGTGTTGTTTAGCAAACACTTGCAACACAGGACGCAAAGAATGACGACTGTAAGACATTGATTTAATCTTTGATCTCTGAGAGAAAGAAGTCAGATGTCTACTGATATCGCTGATCCTGAGTATGTTCAGTAATGTCAAATCAAACAAACGTCTTTCAGGAGCTTTAAACTCTGTTTGAACAGCACCTATTTACATTTAAACAAAGACACCACTCACTCCTTTCACTTGGTTAACCAAGCACATCACATCATACTTAACCGCTCCTCCAACATGCTTAGATTCACTTGAGTGCCTGTTGGTGAGCTTATCTGTGCTCCAGCTCTGTATAGATATGAATCACATAAGCATATTTCTCAGTTGTTTTTAGCCATGCTAGCATTCGGTCAGTCCACCACTTTGGTTCAGACTCAAATACATCAGCAACTATTGAACGGATTGATAGGCTGTTTTCTACCCCAGACTCAACAGACGGGCAGAATAACGTGCTACATGTGACCAGAGTGAAATGCAATGTGACTTAGGTAACCATAGTTTCTTGTTTAGGATCCAGTACCCAATCTTCACACATGTAAGTGTGGAATAATCATGTTTGGACATGTAATGAATCCTAGTAGATCTAGTACTCCCTGCAAGGAAGGATTATTCTCATTTGGTTTGGTCCTACGCTGTGTTCTCATTTTTGCCTTTCTCCTATAAATATTTCTGCTTAAGACAACCTGAGTTTCCTGAAACCTTCTTCATCACTAGAGTTGAGCAGCCCACAAGAATTTCCTTCATGAACAGTGTTAGTGTATTTGTGGCCCACCAGTAGACTCTACAACACTGAACATTAGCCTACGTCTGCTAATGCACAGCAACATAAACAAAGCTGGACTGGTTTAATCTTGTTATCTAAACTTGCTTGAATGTCAAGGGAAAACCTCCCTATCCTTAAGTAATTCCACAGCTTTTAGTCAGATGAAAGAAGATCGGACTTGATACCCTCATCTAAGTCGTCATCAGTTAGTAACCTACTCTCACAGCATAACATTTGGTATTTTTCACCCATGCGACTAATTGGGACAACACTTTTGGAAATTGGTCCACTATTGAGCAAGCCAAACAGGGCTTCAAAGTAATCTTTGCGCCCTGTCAAAGTACATCCACTAAAGTGCTTGTTTTTGACAGTGGCAGGCTCAGATAATTATAACAGGTGTCTGAGACATTGTGGAAAGGATCCCTAAAGAATTAGACTTCTTTTTAAAGAGTAAGATCCTTTTTGTTTAACCAGAAACAGATGCTATATCACTCTCGTCAATGCCACCAGACTCCCTTGACAAACACTGCAATTTTACCTCTCTCTTCTACCGCTTCCTCAATTGTGGTTTAACCCTTCAAAAATCAAAGTCCCACAATAACACAAACTAACCAACCGAGGCAGCTGTAGACCAGCAACTCCCATGTTTCCTTTTTGCCCTCAGGCTACATACAGGCTGCCCTACCTTATTGTTCAAGTTGTTTTTGGAATGTTTGCAGCCTGAAAGGAATAACTGAAGACACTACCTCGGGCTAATATTGTCCTAAATGAAACTGAAATGGAACATAATTCATTATCACCAGTCATTATTATGGACAGCACATTATTTGTGTGACTATGTAACACTGAAACCAAACCTACCGGTATATTCATGCGGTTGAAGGGCATATGCTGATCCATAATTATTTTGTGGTGCTAATTAGCAGAGTTTCAGGAGCAGGACCACACATCAAGCACGTCATCGCCAGCATTTCCATAAATACCCACACGTCCTAACTCCTCCCCTTCGCTCTTGTATCCTGCATCCCTCTCTCCCCACCCCTTTCTCTGTCATGCCTCCTGATCTCCTTCTTCCTCTCCATAGGTTTATAGGGGGGTCCGTCGTGCCCGGACGCTACGGCGGATTTCCCTATCGTAGCTTCCCCACAACACATTTGCCGATCCAGCTCCATTAGATGTGCCTGATAAAGGGGCCAATTTTTGAGGACATTTTTGGAAAATAGGAAAGTAAGGACAGTTTGTCTGGTCCCCACCTTGCAATAGATAGTCACAGTGATTAAACTTGGGTTTAAGGCTGAAGGATAAGGCAGGTGTTTTTTCTTCTTGCATTAAAAGAAAAAAAAGTTAGTCCATCTCTCAATACTTCTTTATTCAAATAACTATATCCAATAATTCCTTACCCTGTGTCCATGGCTCTCAGCTCCAGGCTCACTGGTTCCTACTTAAGACTCAAATCTTTAAAAACAGCTCACATTAAAATCTCTTTTCTGAGGGAGACCTGGCCAAGACAGCACACCAGTCACAATTTAAATCGAAATACAGCATAGTCAAAACAGACAAACAAGCGTCACACATAAAGGAAAGGGGCTAAGCCAGGTCACATGTGGCAGTTATATTTCTCAATACATGGCATTTTAACATGGCTTTAAATTCATTTAATGGGACTAGATCATTAAGATGCAGCAAGTTTTACAAGTTATTCCAAGACCAGTGAGCAAAGTAAGAGAGGGCTTTTTTTCCCCAGTTCAGTAAAAACCCTTGGAACATGGTAAGAGAGCCACCTGGTGGAACAGAGATGAAAACTGCTGTAATTCTGCTTCAGGAGATTACATAAATATGCCGGCAGTTTACCCAGCATGGCCTTGTATAGAAAAATATGCAAATGAAGTTGTCTACGTAGACTTAGTGACGGCCAGCCTGCCAGTTCATAAAGCGTACAATGATGAGTACGGGAATGAGAGTTAGTTAAAAAGCGCAGAGCACTATGGTATACAGAATCTAAAAGGTGGAGAGTACTAGAGGCAGCATGCATGTAGACATCATCACCATAGTCCAAAACACTTAGAAAGGTAGCCTGCACAAGTTGTCTTGCTATCATGTTAAAACAAGCCTTATTTCTAAAGTAAAAACCCAAACTTAGCTATAGCTTTTTCACAAGGTTTTCAACATGAACTTTGAAAGACAGTTTGTCATCCAGTCAAAAATCTAAATACTTATATGAAACATTTTCATCAAAGTCCCCATTTAGTGTGTTAATAGTATTATCTGGGGATTGGGACCGAGCCCTCGAAAACATCATACATTTTTTTTTTGTAGTATTAAGCACTAACTTGAGGCCATGTAGTGAGACTTGAAGGTGTCGAAAGGCTAACTGAAGGTCATTTATGGCTTGGTTCAGTGATGGGGCAACTGAATATATCACTGTGTCATCCGCATAAAGGTTGAGTTTAGCAGTTTGCACGTCCTTTCCAATATTATTTATAAATATAGAAAATAAAATAGGGGCTATCTAAGACTAAGACTATCAATAGAAAAAATTTATTTTGTCATTTGTTGGGGACTGTTTCTAGCGGCGGATTAATCCACATCTGGTGCTCTTGTGAGTATTTGGGGCAGCAGGACAGTGTATGTGTTCACTACAGTGTGTGTGTGTGTGTGTGTGTGTGTGATAGTTTTTTTCTCACCAATGGAGCTCTTTGGTACAGAGGAATGAGATATATCAGGTTTTGAAACACACACAATACTCATTAGTGGATACATTAAGTGTTGGTTTTAATATAGAATATCAGCAGCCTTGTCCTTTAAGTAACTAAGAAGTGTGGAAGCAGGAGTGTGTTGTAATGTGACGGCAGTGGAGAGAGAAAAGAGGGAGCGCGTTTAGACAAAGGAAAACAAAATGATGGCCAGAGGTGGAGCTAGTCCTGACATGAGTGTGTGTGTTGCGGCTTTGTACATAGACACCTTTCCCACCCTTCTCTCTTTCTCTCCCCTGAGGCTCCCATTCATTCACAAAGTTTTTTTTTTCATTCCCTACTATCCAATCGCCTGGAAAACAACCTCTGACTCATCTCTGGATCGCGTTTCGATTTCTCGCTGACTCACGATATCACTTCCTCCCCCGCTGTTTTCCATCGGGGAAATGACATGTAGGCTCGTCAAGCTTAAACGTCCTGTCATGTTATTAAAAAACAGACACTGTGTGGAAATAAATAATGACTGAGTAGAAGGATGAAATGATGTTTAATAATAGTTGTAATTTGCCATTCTTAAGCACCAGAGTTCATTCAGCTTTTAATCAAATTCCCTAAAAATTACTTAATGTGTCTACTGCACTTTTTAGATCTTTGTCTGCTTAAATTTATAGCTTTTGGTTCATTTGAACTTGTATTAAATTTGTGTTTGTAATATACATATGCGTGTGTTTGTAGGTTCTTGGCCGGGTGTTGCTGCTACAGCTGATCGACGACCTGGTGCGCGGTTATCATAACAACGAAACGTGGTCGTTGCAGTTGCTGAACAGTACGCGCATCCACATCCTGCCGACAATGAACCCAGATGGCTTTGATGCATCGGACACACACTGCCAGTACAGCCAGGGCAGGTACTTACACACACAAATGTTATGGTTCATTAAAGATCCACTAATATATTTTTTTGTATCTATGAGTTGAATCTAATGACTTATAAACTTAAAATCTTGCAAATTCACAGAGTTATCACAAATGCTGCAGCTCTGCTGAGCTTTTTAGCCTCTTTTAGCTCCTAGTTTTGGTTTTCCGGTACTTTTACTGGTTTTGTTCAGCTCTGGTAAACCCCCACTATACACTCCCTGCCCAGCACCAAACACCAGACAGACATAGATAGAGACTAGTAAAGACCAAGAGAGCTAGTAAATATTGGACTTTATTGAACAGTCATTAGGTAAAGCACCAAGAGTTTGGACACAGAAAGTTGGATCTAACAACTGGCATAAATTGAATTTGCAAGAGAACAAGTGATTGTCATGGGTGGGTTTGTAGAGGATCTTTAAACCTGCTATACTGAGGAAACAAGCTCTAACACATCATTGACATATCATCAACATATAACGTTCATATGGTGAATATCCAGCAGTTACAGAGCAACATCATGCATGTGGAGTCATGTTTGTGTCACCTGATGAAGATTAAGTTCAATTTTCTCTCTCTGTTAGCTCTGCTTTTAGTCTCTGCAAGCTCCTGTGGGAAATATCTCGCTCTTTAGCTGCTAAATGTTTCACTGTGTTCACCAGATTGTCTCTCTATGTGTCTGTGCTGGCAGTTGATGCTGTTTATCAGAGCTTTTGAAAACAACAGCCTGTCGGAAACGACACTGATGAAAAGCCCTGAGACTGAACCAAAACCAAAATCAAAACAATTAGATAAAATTAGCTGCAAATTTCCGCAGAGCTGAGGTGAAGTGTGTGTATATATATAAACCTTTATTTAAACAGGAAATGTCCCATTGAGAAATGTCCCATGAGTTCAAGTGAGCACGCGTACGAGCACACACCTGGTTACAATCTTAAAACCGCAACGCTAGTGGCCTCTGGAAACTCCATAATGCCCCTTATTATATGTACTTTGCATATGAACAATTTTAAACAGATATAAGAAGGCAACAGACCTAAAATAGATTTATAAATAAAAAAGTACCAATGTAGCATCCTGCGCAGTTTGAGTGATGGCCAATGTACCCTACTGTATAAGATGCATGATGTGTCTGATAGCCAGCATTTGCGATGAACCTGAGAGCCGCATGATAAAGAGGGTCAAGCTTTGACAGATTGTAATGAGGCAAAGTCTAACTGCAAATTTACACAGGCAGTATCAGGTGTAGGGGCACAAGAATACGTAATTGTATCATCCGCATACAAATGATACTGTGAGTGTTTAAATTTACTGCAGACATTGTTTATATTGATGATAAAAACCAAAGGACCCAGAACTGATCCTTGTGGGACACCCTTTTGACAACAGGGTCAGATGTTACATTCCCATGCCTTACAATTTGCGTCCGTTCAGAGACATAGCCATGAAACCAATTTACAGCTCTATGCCCACACCAATATTCAACAGGGTTTTGATTAACATGAAATGGTCTACTGTATCAAATGCCTTTGTAAGGTCAATAAACACAGCCATACAGAATAACTTTTTATCAATCGTCGCTTTTATGTCATCAATAAATTTTAAAGAGGCAGAAACTGTACTGTGGCCAGATCTAAAACCAGATTGCATGTCGTTAAGGATATTTTGTGAAACCAGAAAAGGTTTTAATTGATCAGACACTAAAATCTCCAAAACCTTTGCTAAAACCGAAAAATTTGAGATAGGTCTATAATTATTCAAATGGATCCCCAGCTTTCAGTAATGACGTGACATTTCCATGAACTAGGCACTGTATCTGTGTAATTGGAAAGGTTAAAGATGTAAGTGAGCGGCTTCACTATAATTTGTGCTGCCATTTTTAATAGGATCAGGATCAAGTCCATTTGGCCCCACTGCCTTCTTGGAGTCAATGCTCTGCGAAACATGCAAAATATCTGACTCAAAGAATGGTGCAAGCTCAAAAGTCAAAGAAACAGAAGAAGAAACTACTTCCCGTTGTAGTGACTGGGATCTAGGTTCAGCCAGGAATAAATAGTTCCAAGTTTCCTGTGAGTTGGGTTCGCCATGGGGAATTTCACCTATTGCTACCTGGGAACTATGTTGAACAAGAGAGGTTTCACCAAATGTGTCCTCAAAGATATGTCCTGCCTTTTCAAAATGATCATTAAAAGCATTTAGCATGTCCCTCTTCTCTGTGTGCAGCGTCTGTGTGAGTTAGTCGCTACAAGCAACCCATTTCTCATACAAGTAGTCGCGTGATCCATTGTTAATATGAAAATATTGATTACAGACGTGGTTAAAAACAGAAGAAAAAACAGGAGCTGCTTCTGGCCTGCTACAAACACCACAACCGTCTGCTCCATACAGGGGTGTGTGTGTGCGTGTGTGCCGTCATGATTGTTGTGTACAGACTAAACTGTGCGACGCTCCAACGCCCAAAACACTCTGATACGCAGGAAATCCAGACACACTGTAGATTTGTATCACACAGACAGATTACTGTTACAATGAAAGCCTCTAAGTTTCTAATTATAAGTGTTTTGACTCATTCTAATGAACTGTATGTAGGAGACTCGTGTGTGTGTGTGTGTGTGTGTGTGTGTGTGTGTGTGTGTGTGTGTGTTTGCATTAATCACATTGTGGAAACGTAAATCTGTTCGCACAGTCTCATTATGGGGACTGTTTGAGGTCACCACTTTCCAAACCGTAAAAGGAAACATTGCACTGAAGCAATGTGAAAACAATCAGCCAATGTGGTGAGCTTTTTCACCAGTTTGGGAAGGAAATAAACCTATTTAAAGATTTATTGATTCTATTGTACAGATGTCTTTTTTTTTTCGGATACACTTATTCCTGAAACTGCAGTGGGAGCCAGAGGAATTATCTTACCCTTGTAATTGGTTGAATTTTGTAGATAAATAAGACTTGTTGATGTGATTCATTGTTCAGGTGGATGAAACGACAAAAACTGGACGGTGCTTGAAATTATTATTGTTGTTAAATGTCACTTTCTGGTTATTGTGTTAAGCTTTAAGACATTTATACTGAACAGGGGTGGAAGAAGTACTGAGATCCTTTAGTTGAGCAAAAGTACCAGTACCGTGGGGTAAAAATACTCAATTACAAGTACAAAAAATGTATTAGCAAAATGTATTTAAAATGTGGAAAGCAAAATCACTGATTCTGCTTTAAAATATCGTTATAGATTGTTAATACTGATGCATCGTAGTTAGAGCAGCTCTGCGTATCATTAGCTTCCTGAACAACAAGAGTTACATTACTTTAATAGGCTACCACCTACTGACTGTTGAGCCTGTTGAAAAACAGAAATATGCAGTTCATCATCCTCATAATCCTTTGAGATTTTGCTCTCGTGATGGATTTGAGAGTGCTCTTTCTGTGAATGCGTCTCCATGCTGTGCAGCGAGATGTTCCTCCTGAATTTGCACCCAAAATGCTGTCCAAAAGCTTTCATCTACTCTTTCTACTGTTCTGTGACTCCGCTGTATAGATGATGATACACTCACAGGCTGGAGGCTGTCACAAGATCTTGAGAAGTGCTTTCAACATGAGTGCGTTTTCTATGGGGGCTTCAGCAGCTGCTGCTGTTTTCTCTCAGACTGACAAAATAATTGTTTTAAATAAATCATCTATAAAATACCCAAAACATAACAAAAGATTCTATTTACAACTACTGTTGTTTGCAATGATGTTTGTAAAATGCTTTCTTTGTCCAATCAACAGCTCAGAATCCAAAAATATTCAACCAACAGTGATATTTAAGCAATAACTCACGACAGACCATGGGATACGCTTATTATGTCACCGTTTAAGGGCGTTGTTCGGCCCGGACGTTTTATAATTGTATATTTACAGCTGGAATCTGAGAATGTTTGTTTTTAACCACGCCTGTGGCGTCGTTGTAGTGATGGCCCAACATTTTTGTCCAGATTGATATGTCTTAATAACTATTAGATGGATTGCTGTGGTATTTTTTACTTTTTCATAGTTCCCATATGATGAACCCTGGTGACCACCTGACTTTACCTCTAGCACCACCATGATGACATTGACGTTTGTGGTTTTGAGTGAAATATCTTGGGACGGAATGAAGTTTGGTCCCGATCTTCCTGTTCCCCCCCTGAATTGTAATTTCTTTGAACTCTGAACTTTTCGTCTAGTGCCGTCAAAGTTTCTGTAGACTCTGTAGAGACTCGTTTGCTTGACAAATGGCTCAAATTATTAACGACCAGGACATCATAAATAAGGTTTGGCGCTAAAGCCCAAAATGAAATGTGGGGACAACGCTGCTGATCTCTAAATTTAAAGTCAGTCAGATTCCGGTGTCACAGTATGTCTCTGTCTCTTTGTCTATTTCAGGTACAACTATAACGGCATTGATCTGAACAGGAACTTCCCCGATGCTTTCGCTGGTCTCCGAAGGCAACAGCAGCTTGACGAGGAGAAGCGGCAGGCAGAGGTTCGTCATGTGTGTCAGCTGAGACTGGGACCAGTAACAGACGCTGGTTACTTACTGTCAGCAGTTCTTTCCCGCTGACCACACATTTTGTCCCAGCATTATTTGTGCGAACAGATCGACAATCAGTGTGTAAACGTGTAATCTGTTTATAGAAAATACCTTCCACAAATACAAAAAAAAAAGATTTGTAAACGAAATGAAACGATATTTGTGAGAGGTTTTTAAAGATCTTCAGTAGGAGCCAATGGACTTGGAGCTGAGAGCCACAGACAGGAAGTCAGACAGTACAGAGAGACAGACTAACATGGTTTTAGTCTTTTCATGTTATTTAATAAATATTATAATAATGAAAATATTGTATTAAATAATGTGTAATAAAATAATTATATAAATAAATAAACTAAAGAGTATTAACAGCGTTATCCTTTAAATTATATTTAAAATATGATGTGTGTTTTAAATCTTCTCTGATTGGCAGGTTGCTGTGTGATGTGTTTCAGGTCAGAGCCGTGATTGGCTGGTTGAGGACTGAGAGTTTTGTTCTCTCTGCCAACCTTCATGGAGGCGCTCTGGTGGCCAGTTATCCTTACGACAACAGCAACAGAGGTAAACACACACAGATAGAAACTATATTTATTATAAGTAATTCATTAAACAAACATATGTCTCCACATTTGTTGGTTCAGTCCACAGCCGAATGTGGAAACATGAAAGTTTCTCAGCACAAAAATGAAGCTGAAAGTTAAACAACAACAAGACGATAACTCAATGAAAGTAAGACAGAACTAGGTGGTCCACAACAATATATTTTTGGGCAATCTTTCCTTTAATGAAAGCAGAATAAGAGAGAGAGAGACAAGAAACAGGCCCTCAGGTTCAGTCCCATGACATTGTGGAACAGCGTTAGATAAATATACAAGTTCAGTTGAGCAACTTGGTCCACATGCTGGGACCCCCATGGTGTCTTTTAAGAACACAAACTAAATATCCTTTATTAAATTCTATCCTACAAATCAGAATTTTCTGGATAATTTTGCTGCATAAAGCCAGAACAGCTCTTTTATTTAACTCCATCTTCCAGATTCGTAGATACGTATGAGACTGAGCTGTAACAGTTAGTGAAGTGTTGGTCGCTCTATAAGCCGGCTCTTTTAAGTGAACGATGGGAGCTCATGTCTAAAGCTGATGAGACACAGAGCAACTTTTAGAGCAATCGTGCAGGGCAACGTTGCCGACAATGGTAATGAGTAAAGATTAGTACCATAATCACCTTCCCCCACCACCTGTCCCGCACCACCGCTATCTGACTTGCTGCTAGCAACATTGCCCAGCAACATTGCTCAAAAAGTTGCCCTTAAGAGTCGACCACAACCAGTGGAAATAGAAATTCAAGACAATGAACCAATTACACTTTTTAACAGAGCAGAAATATTTTTAGTTTCATATTAGCCAATATCATAGCAATGTGATTTAAATATACAGTTCATTAGTTTTATTTATTTATTTATTTACCAAGGACAATGCACATTAATCAACACCACGGTTTACACCTCAATGCATTGGAGTTAGCTAATAAGCTAATTTTCATCTGTAGTCCCTGGACAGGTTGTAAAAGTTAGTGCCCAATTTCATAAGTACAGTATTTCAACAAGTACTGCACTACAAACTTACATCTGTACTGTACAACAGAGTCCCCTCTACTAAGTACCCTTGTTACCCTCCTGCTGCTAACCTTCTGCTTTATGAACTGGCTCAGTGGAGGAGGTGCCATCTTTGTACAGAGTTGTGTAATTATTTAACTGGTAGGGTGTTATGTTTGTTACAAACAACTAGGATAGTTATTCTTGACATATTCCACTTTTTAAACCATCAATTTGACAGAATATTTCATTGAATGGCAGATACATATTTATTTCTTGCAAATAGGAATGTAACTCAGGCACTGAACAGCAGAAGTGGTACTAAATCAAGAGCCGTTTGGGAGTCGAAAGAGCCGGCTCTCGGAAAGGAACGTAGCCATAAAATCCGTCTCCCTTCAAAGAGCCGTAATTCCCACCACATCAAACATTGTCTTACTTCGAGGCCCTAAGGGTCATAACTCAGACGATTTCTGTTATTTCCCAAGGACATTGATACAGAAGAAAAATGTTTGCTGCTCTTTAGCTGTTTCTAAACTGCAGCAGCTTCGGTGCGCCGTGTACACAGGATGCGTTCAAGCACAGTATTGAGTGTAGGTCATTTGTGCTTTGGCAGTGCTTGGAGCCCAACACACAATCACTGCATTCACGCACAGAAAACAGAAGAAAATAGACCTGAAGTGTAAAAATAAAGTGTCATCTCAGATCAACTCACATCTGTTTCTCCAGGCAGCGAGTTTGTGGGCGGGGCAAGCATCACACCTGATGAAGACGTGTTTGTTCACCTGGCCAAGGTGTACTCCTACAACCACGCCTCCATGCACCTTGGTGACAGCTGCAACGATGGCAGACCCTTCATAGATGGCATTACCAATGGATACCAGTGGTATCCTCTTGAAGGTCAGCATGAAAGGCAGTGTTTTAAATCAAGGGTGAGCTAGGCAGTGACAACCAGGGGTGTGTATCTCTCCCTCTCAGACAATTTGATAAAATTAAAAGAATAAGTCTGGAACAATACGCCGCAATTTAAAGCCAATTCGATAAGATTCAATTCAGCCAATTTAGGATGCGATTATTTTCATATTTTATATAATATTTTATATTTTTTTTAAATATTAAATCAGAAACCACCCAGAAAAGTAAGTCCTCTGCCACACAAGCAATAGTAAACATGGACAGTGATACATAACTTTTTGGCTAGTCAGTAAACAGCAGGAGGTTTTGGTTAAACTTATATCTTGGTTATTATGTCAGTTTAACCATTTGAATTTAATACTGTGTCGGCTGATCTCAGTGTTATGTCAAAGATTTGTGTTCTTCTGAGCCCAAACAGTCATCTTCAACTCAAACACATTATGAAAGGTTGCAGTCGTTCATATCAAACTAACTTTATTTGTTTATCTGAGACCAGATAAAAGCTCCCAAGTTGAATGCACTACACAGCCCGCCCTTCAAACCTTTACTTTCTACATTGCTGCAAGGTCAATTTATACTTGTGGGTCGAATCTACGGTATAACTTCAAGTTGACCTCCCAAAAACTTTAACTACAAGTCGCTGATTGATCGGCTTGGTAGCATCACATTTCCTCTTACTCAGTGTCGGCTTGTCCATCTTCGGCAGCCTCAACCAAGTCCAACTGTCGTTCATACCATCTCCGACGCCTTCTCTCGTTTATGCATTTCAGTAGTTTCACTAAAAGTAACTGCTGTTCAACATTGATCAGCTGCAACTCCAACATGATCTGCTTGAAGAGGGAGAAACTCAACAGAGTGGATCATAGAAACGCCAACTAGCATTTTGGCACATGCACATGTTGAGGTCTATTGTTCAGTTTGAATTCCTAGAAAGACTTCAGTGGAAACCTGCAGACAGACACTAAAGACAGAAACATCCCTGATCAGCCTCCTCTGGTTTCCTGTTGCAGAAACTTGACTACTGCAACCCGATCACCTCATTGACTTTATCTATGGAAACTGTACACTACAGATGTACACTGGGACGTTTCTGGCCATGATGGTGCCCTAGGCAAGCCGGGATCTTATTGGAAGGGACAGTTCAGCATGGTCGACATGTCCCTACTGTCCATTTCCAAATCTACACATACGCGATAGTCACAAAGAACATGTTTCTTCTCTGTGTGTGTGTGTGTGTGTGTGTGTGTGTGTGTGTGAATTAATTTCTGAATGTGTGTGTGTTTATTTGCAGGTGGGATGCAGGACTATAACTACGTGTGGGCTCAGTGTTTGGAGTTGACTCTGGAGGTTTCCTGCTGCAAGTTTCCTCCAGTCAAACAACTTCCTGCACTGTGGACGGATAACAGGAAGGCTCTGCTGGCCTTCATTAAGCAGGTCCACCTGGGTCAGTACCTGTCTGTCTGTCTCTTGACCTGTCTGTCTACCTGTGTCTGCTCCCCCATTGTGTTTGTTTCATTACTTGTCTCACTATTACCTGTCTTTTTCGTTACTCGTCTATGTTTTTAACTGTCTGTCTCCTTTACGTGTGTGTGTGTGTGTGTGTGTGTGTGTGTGTGTGTGTGTGTGTGTTCAGGGGTCAAAGGTCGTGTGTTTGATGGCTCCGGAGTGCCGGTCCAGAACGCAGTGGTGGAGGTCAAAGGTCGCAGGAATATGTGTCCCTTCAGAACCGACCGACACGGAGAATACTACAGATTGCTGCTGCCTGGAAGCTACACCTTCACAGTAAACACACACAGTGATACAGCGACCTCTAGTGGTAGAAATACACATATTTGGTCAAAATGTATTTAAAGCTTTTTGCTTTAAGAAGTATTTTACCATGTAAAGAATTATTAAGCCGTAGTAAAATTTCTTTGAAAACAGTGTACTAAATTGTCAAGACTGCTCGACAGCTAAAGTCCGACAACTATAAAGTTGGTTGTTGGACTTAATTGAAAGCTAGCTAATGATATAGCATCGGACTAGCCTTAGCTATAAAGCTGAAACAAAAATTTACAAAACCGATTTTTCTCTAGCTGTAATCTGTAATTAAAAAAATATTAATTCTAAGGTGACCAGATTTCTGAAATGAAAACCGGGGACAATTTTGTTTTGGTGGTCAGTATGTGATTAAAAAATATAATGTTATTATATATGAAATAAAACAGGGGGACAATTTCGGTTTTATAATCTGTCAAATACAACTTCTGAATAAAATCAAGTCATTTTGAGGCAGAAACTACCTTTCAGTCAATAGAGGCTGCAAATCACTTTCTGGCAAGTAGAATACTGCATTTTGTGTTCTTTTGGCCATTTAAAGGTATTTAAAGAGGTAAAAAGTTCTAGGTGAGTTATAATCAGTCAAATATAACCCTCATGAATGAAATCAAGTCATTTTGAGGCAGAAACTACCTTTCAGTCAATAAGTAGAAGCTGCAATCACTTTCAGGCAAGTGAAATACAGCACGTTATGGGTTGTATTGGCCATTTAAGGTATTTCAACAGGTAAAACAGCATGTATTGGTTGGTACACAGCAAGTTAAATAATGTAGTCATAAGGATAATTGCAAAAGAGATCATGTCTTTATTTTATGTATAACTCAGCAGTAAGTCATGTTAATTATAGGTTACAGCCTGTTTTCCAAATATAAACAAGGATATTGGACATAGGCCTACTAAACACATAATCCATCGGCAACAAGAGGCTTCTATTATTGCCTATAATCACATAATGTCAGGCCTGATTACTCTATAAACTGCAAACACTTATTTAGCCACAATTGTGATAATTGCGTTAAAAGAAACAGTAAAGTTTCATAAAGATATACCTTTGCGGTTACCACGGACATAAAGTGATGTTTATTTGTATGTTATGTCTGTTTGATCCAGATAAAAGCAGCTGTTGTTGTAAAGAGCCTGGACGATACAGCTTTAACATGCTGCGACAACTGGACTTGTTTTGTATTAATGTAATCTTTATTTAATCAGGCTGTCTTAACATCCATACGTCAGTGCTGGACAAGGAGAAATAAAACTGCTCTGTCCCTGATACCAAAAAACATAACTCAATTTTTATTTAAGTTATGTATTATCATTTTGTTTTGTTATTGACAGCTCGCTACGTTCAATGTTGCTGACTTTGTGATATCAATCAACATTATCCGAGTAGGCTTAACTTAAACGGTATGGCTTTGCTATGGGTAGTAGGACAAATGCAGCTAGCGAGACCTGTTCTCCTTACACAAGATTAATAATTAACTCTAACTAACTGTACATTTACATTCCTCCTATTGTTTACTTCCACCTCCCAAAACCAGAAATCAGCTAAGCCTGTCCTAACACGCTGCAAAATAATACGATTTAAGAGTTTCATACTGCATACTACTATGAAAAGCCGTAGGTAGTACGTATTGTGGTTACCGGTAGCATGTAGTAGGAAAACAGCCAGTTTCTCATTCAGCACTTATCCTTTGTTCCTGGAGTTTACTTTCCATATTCAAACAAATAAGACAAATCTCCGCCACTAAAACATTTACTGTTTTTTTAGTTGAAACCTGTGGTTTTAATGAAGTTAAACAATGATAACTCAGTGAGAACAGAATAAAACAGAATAAACTACAGCTGCCGTGAAAATGTGTGCTGCAGCGCACATACTTACATCATTCATAAAAACTATTACTACTGATCTAAACTCCTCAACCCGCTCATAAACTCACCACTTCTGTCAAGCTGTGACCTTTAACCCACAATGTTTTAAGGCTCATGGGAAATTGTGTTAAAATACAGAAATATTGAACTGCAGAAACAACAGTAGGTTGTTTTTTTAGAAACGACATACTGTTGAGAAAGGCTCTGATCCAAGACTGGATTTTTAGTTAGTTTAGCATTGTTCCAAATGTCAGTGGGATTTTGAAAGAGATTTCCTTACATCTAGAACAGAACCCTGAAAATCCTGTTTTAATTCGCTAAACCATAAATATTAAATTAATAAAAGTAGACCAGCAGACAGACGCTAGCAAATAAACTAGTTCAAATGGAAAGGAAGGCACAACATTTTACTGCTGTAGTTGCTGCACTCATATTTGTAGGGCAATATGATTACAGTTACTCTCATATGACATTAACTTTCTTCTCTAATCTCTTTGATTGACAGGTGACGTACCCGGGTCACGAGGTTTTGACAGAGACACTGAACATTCCAAATGGTCCTGATAACTACTCCGCTTTGAGACACGACTTCCTGTTACAGCACATCCCCAAGACGACTGGCCGCAGCCCGGCTAACCCCACCCAAGCTGACCTCACCCCAAGCTGTAACTACACATTATACCTGGAGGCAGGCGGAGCCATCACCAGGCCCACATGGGCGGGGCTAGGTGTGGGGCTCGCCCTGGTGGCGGCGCTACGATCCTTAATCAACTGAAGCAGCCTGGTGTGACAGTCACAGGTTTGAACAGTCAACCTGCAAGAAAACAAAGAACAAAAACATGTGGTCCAGCAGAGGTTTCTGAAGAGATGTTTTGAAGCCTGGAGTTTGGGTTTAAAACTCGCCGCCAGCTTTGTCACTGCTGAAAAAACACTTAACTTGAGGGCAAAGGGGTGAAAGCCCTGGTCACAGCAAGAAGGTCATAAGCATGTCCAATATAGGTGGTGCTGGAAGTTTCGGGATGTAGTGACTCCTCGCAAGGGGTTGCTGTCCTTATTATTAAGTTAAAATATCTGCCATGTAAAAGGCTTATGGCGAGCTGACAGCTAACACGCATCAGCCTGGAACAATGCGAGCGTATGTCAGTCACTCCAAGTTAGCTGGATTGCTAACTAGCCAGCTCGTGTACCAGGAGAAATTTTAACTTTGTTCTGTGTGACAATAAAAGCACACAGTTTATTCATACTTTCAGGGTTAAACAGCTAACATGGACGTCACCTGGGAACATCAGCTCGGCCTCTAGCTGGACAAGTCCACACAGTTTTTTTTTTTAACGGATTTGTTCCACTGCAAATACGTCTCTTGTCTCATAACAGTTGTCTAAAAATGATGCCTATTGTGAAGCACTTTTAACTCCCTCAGTGGAGGTTATATAAAATTTGATGGTGCAACACAGCTAAGAAGCTATAATAGCTTCCTGTGTTTTGGACACCCTGGCTCTCTGTTCCTTCAGGAGTCAGAAGCCTGTTTCAGAAAGAGGGTTTAGTGAAAACTCTGAGTAAGCAGACTGTCGATATCAAATCTGTCATCAATGTATGGACAGAGAGTTATCTTTGGACATCGTGAATTTATCCTCAGCACAGAATAAAATCTATAAGCTACACTGTCCTTTATAACACAGCGACTCTGTGGACATTAAGGCAGCTGTCAGGTTGGCAACAGTTGCACAAAAACACTTACTGTGTGCTACAGTGCTGCAGTTTAAACTAATCTGTATAAAACTGATGAATGAACAGGAACCTTCGATATTGTAGTCGCACAGATTGAACATTCCTACTGTAGTTATCAACCGGATATGATGTGAATATTTCTGAGTGAGGATGCAGTGTGGTGCAGCTGAAACAAATAAATGTAGTTTAAAAGTGAGTTTTTCATTATCTGAATGTGTTTTGACAGCATTTCATAAAATACGAAATGAGCAAGATTTTATTAATGTAACATAGACGCCTAAAACTTTACAGTCAGTTTGAGCAAAAAAATCATTAATAGACCTACTGAGTCGGACTGTGGCTTTACAATCACAGGTCCATGAGGAGCCTAAACTGTGTCTAATCTGTTCCATTAATATTTTCATCTTCAGTTATTGCCACCGGCATTTAGTCCCGTCAGGTTACAGCTGAATAAACTATTTAAAATAAATAACGGGCTGGAGGAGAATCCCAGCTCTTTATCATTCATTAAGGAAATTCCAGTCTAGTAAATGATAAATGAACAACGCTGTATAAAATGTAGGACGTATCGATCCTTCCTCCACTCCTGCGTTTTAGAGCTCTGCCTTTATTTACCCGTTGCCGTGGTGACTCGTAGTATCATCCCCACGCACGCGCTTCCATCAGGCTCAGCATACTCACAGTTGACTGAACTTATTCTTATCAGCTGTTCTGAAACCTAAAACTCGGAGTTTGACAGCTCAGAGTTCGTCAACCCAGAGATCAGTTTTACACTCTTTGCACACTTTGAGTTTGTTGAACCTGCTTTCTGAAACGGGGCCCAGCACTGTCAAGATGTTTGGCTATAGAGAACCTCCTCTTCTGTTGGACCACCATGGGACCTACATAAGAAAATACATGTACAGTAGTCAAAGGCAGGAGACAACAGATTTTGTAATTTGTTTTACGTTTTTTGAATTACACACATGATGTCTTGTCAATTTTAACGAAAATTCTGCACAGTTTGTTGTAAAACTGAAAGTACGTAACTAAAACCATAAATCAACCACCATGATTTATTGTTTTACAACAAACTGCAACTTTTTTGGCAAAATTGTATTTTAAATTGACAAACCGTGTGTGCAATTAAGGGCACAATTTAAATGGGATACAAAAACTTTGTTGTCTTTCGCAGTTGACTACCATACATATTTTACATGCAGAAGCAGAAGAGAGGTTGGTCAATGTTAGAAATTCATTGAACTTGTTTGTTTGCACATATACATACTTTGCCTCTGCAGGCAAATTTGCAGGTTGCAGTGGTTTAAGTGAAAATAATTTATCCGGCCACAAAATTTCACCGTTTTAATTGCTGGTGTAACAGGGCCCTGCAGCAATTCTCTTGGATCCTTATTACTAATGGAGAAATGTAATTAACTACTGATGAGCTGTGAGAAAAGTTTTTTATTTACTTCGAAAGATAGAAAATTGAGTTTTTCCTGGTTTCCTTCTGTACCAAACTAAAAAAACATTAGAATTTAAGGGACAAGACAGCGAAATCCTCACAGGAATAACAGATTTTAAATCTGGGTTGTATTTAACGGCATCGCAGGAGGAAAAAGCTCTACTGCCTGAGGATTTTGACTTCCCTGCTGAGACGTTACAGCATGTGAAGGAGCGTAGGAAGTGATAAGGTTCATTAAGTGTGTTGGAGCTAGACCATGTAATCTTAAATGTGAGGAGGAGCACTTTAAAATTAGCACTTGCAGGGACTGAATGCTGTTTATAGAAAGGGTAGAATTTAAAGACATTAGGGTAGTCGAGTGTTGAAATTACTACAATATACAGCATGTCTACAGCAATCCTCGTGACGCCACACATTAATCATCTACCTGAAGTCACTGAGGTGGGTTTGATTTACCACTCCCGACCATCAGACCGAGCCCTCAGACATGTTCATACAGTTGTTCATATGTCCTTTGTGCTTATTTGATGGTAGTCTGGGGGGCCCATCCCATTTATTCCTACAGAACAGTCCAGTGGTTCCCAACCTAAAGCTTGAGACTCCCATAGTATGGCAAAATTAATTAAGTCACATTTCTGCTACACAAAATTATGATTATATTTCTATGATTATATATTTATAATTTTACTTGCTTTAATGTGAAAACTGGATAGATTTACATCTTGAAACCAAAGTTGTGAGAGACTCAGATCGACACTGAGACAGATTATTTTACAGCAACTTTATTTCTGAGCTAAACCTACCGTAGCTTCATGTGACTCTGCAATACAAGCAAAGACATCTGTGCACAAAATATCAAATATCTGTGAACCTCGCAGCTTGAACACATCATACAGTACTTAAAAAAATACTTGTCCCTTACTACAGGTACAAAACATGTAATATTAAAACATTAAGCTCTTGAGTTGAAATACTTGCAGCTTGACTTACTGCGTGAGTTGAAGAGGACATGTTCTCGCAGGTGTTTAAAAACAACTGTAAGTCGGTGATTGTAGTTTAGTTGCTGATTTGGCCACTTAACAGTCAGCAGCTCACAGCTCATGGAGGTGGTTAAGGTACTTCAGAAACGTCAGTGCCTGGTTGCTATAATTTGCGTCAATTGCACACCTCCTCTGAGTCATAACTCAGTCAAATCTGAACATGTAGACATGATGCACACATTGGGGATTCAGCATGACTTACACCTCCTGAGGATATGATTACCTCTGATGTCTGTTGCAAGTAAACGTCCAGAAATCTGCTCTGAAATCATAGAAAATAAGACGTAGGTGTCATTTACACTTGGGACATGATGGCTGATTTTGTCCCCATCGCTTTTTAAAAGCATAATTTGTTAAAAATGTTCTGAAAAATAGCTTGCAACGAGAAATGTTAACTAACAAATGAAAATGCTATGAGAAAGGTTTATTTGCACAATAAGAAAACATGCAATCAAAATATAGAAGAAACAAACGTTGCATTGTCCAAAAAAAATTAACTTCAGCTTAAAAAAAACAAGCTACTGATTGTTGCATTATATATTTAGATTTTGAGTTGTCACCTGCCACCTGGATTGTTTCCTTTTATATAAATAAATGCATTTCCATAAATTGCTGCACAAAAAGTCTCCAGAAAATAGGGAATTATGTGATTAATGCTCAAAATCTACTGACCCCCAATCATGCATTTCACCATTGAATATTTCTTAAAATATCTTCTCGTCTTGCTCTTGTGACCCCAATATCTTCACGTGTCATTATTGTCCCCACCACTTTTCAACACAAAGTGACGCCCTTGCTCTTTATAACTCCAGAACTTCTTTGAGAATCATCATATTTTTAAGTTACATTCAGTACCAAAGTCTGTCTGTACATTGATGGGTACACGTTAGACAGGAATTACTAATAGCTATTTTAGTACACGTTTAATGGTGCCAGTATGCCAAAATGTCACAAAATGATTTATATGTTGGTCTTATATTCCTGTAACACACAGATACACTCCTGTCTATTCACAGAGTCAGACTTTGAAAACTCCTGGCGTTCTATAACAAGAGGTCACGAGTAGACATTACTTTAAAAGCCAAAACAGTTGGGAACCACTGGTTTTAAATGGGGGGACACCAGGAATTAGCGACACCTGGTGACTGGGAATCAAACCTGTGACCTCAGCTGAACCCTCAGCCACAGCTCATACAGTATCTGTACACAGAATATATTTATATACACATTATGCACACAGAAGTGGATCAAGTTCAGAGCAGCAACAGGTGTGACGCCCATTTTAACACGAGGTTGGAGGTCAGCGAATGTCCTCACTCTTTCTGCCCCGACCTGCAGCTCAGACTGACTTCACTCGTCTTCAGGACAGAAACTCAGCGGGCCTTCTGCACATTTTTTTCCCCTCATTCGAACTTTTTGCCAAATGTCAGGTTTTTCTACTTTTGTACCGTTTGATATTAAATGTTGGTTTGTGAAAAAGTGCCATGTTGGAACTGCAATGACTGCAGGCTTCAGTCACACAAATTTTTGCATTTCCACAGTGGATCCACTCACTGAATCCTACTTTGGACGTAAAGTAAACTATCACTGCTCAGTAAGCCTGGTTATCGAAGGAAATCTCTCATTAAAAGTACAAAAAAACTGAAGAGTTGCAATGTGTTGTTTGTATTTATTTATTTTGCACACATTAAACAAATAAGATATAAAGTGTTAGTGAGCTGAGTGAAATAGTGAGCTTTAGAGGTGCCGATAGCTGGATTTTGATACCTTTTTAAAAAAAATACTTACCCCCGTTACCCCGTTTCCAGTCTGTGCTGTGCTGGGCAAATCTAGCAGCTGTTAGCTTCCATATTTTTAACAGACAAATGTGAGAGTATTGATCTTCTCATCTAAATCTCTCCAAGAATACTAATGCTTTTATACATTTAATATTTAGGTGTTGGGCTGCTGGCTGAATTTGAAAAAGTAAGACAAAAGACATTTGAAGACTTTCCCCTGGGCTTCAGATATTTTACATTTATTTCACCATTT